TCTCTCTCTCTCTCTCTCTCTCTCTCTCTCTCTCTCTCTCTCTCTCTCTCTCTCCCCTCTCTCTCTCTCTGCCCCTCCCCTGTTTGCACTCTCACTCTCTTTCTCTCAAAATAAGTAAATAAACATTGAAAAAGCTAAATGTAATTCTATTAAATGTAGTATTAAAAGGAAAAGAAATGATTATATGGATGCTCCTAAAATCTATTCTATTATGAAATTTTACAGATGACGTATGTATGACATTATGTATTATGAAATTCTAGTATGACATGTTATATACACTCAAAATTATCATCATAATAGTTTAATACTATAATCTAAAAATACAGCATAACCTGAAAGTTTGTATTTAGCCATGAATGATACAATATACAATTATAAAATGCAACTGCAATTGTTCATTGTATCTACATCCTTGTCCCAACCCCCAACCTGGTCTAAGAATGCTTACCCTGATCACAGAAATCCATCTGATTGCAAAGCCAAAGGAAAAACATCCTCATGAAATCCAAGTCCCCAAGTAACTAATTCTAGAGAGAAATAATTATAATTTATTTTGAATTTCAATGCAAGAGACTTCAATTTTTTTTACAGAAGAGCTACATCGCTTTCTGGTTCCTACCATTATTCATTACCTTTTTCAGCTGTGACAGTGTACTTAGCACTACACAAAACACAGGACACAGTCCTTTCCCATATCTAATGTTGTGAAACCACCTAAGAATTAGAATCTATGAAATCATGAGTTTTGAAGGTCGCACCTTTAGGTATTTTAGTTCACAGATAGTTTAATGTGTTGATTTATAAGCCGTAAAACGGAATCAAAGTTTAAATATTTATCTGAGAAGTAAGCTTTGCACTAGGTGGCATTGTTTGCTAATATGCTGTTTATGTTTAACTTGACTAACTAATGGTTTTCATATACTTTGCTGTATCTCAGTAGTTACTCTGCAAGTATAAAATCCACTATCGTTTTATAAGAATTTTTATGATTATAAAAGTAATTTATTCTGTTAATGAAAAATTGGAAAACGCAGAAAAGGATTTTACAAATCATCTATAATTCTATGGTTAGATAGCTTATGCACAACTTTTTTCTCTAAGGTCCAGGAATCTCCAAATAAGGCATAAGCTCTAAAGTCAAACAAAGCTGGGTTCAAATCCTATCCCCTTCGCTTATGCCTATTTGATGCATTTTAAGGCAACAATCATTAAAAAATTTTTTTGATGTTTATTTTTCACAGACAGAGAGAGATAGAGCACGAGCAGGGGAGGGGCAGAGAGAGTGGGAGACACAGAATCCGAAGCAGACTCCAGGCTCTGAGCTGTCAGCACAGAGTCCAATGTAGGGCTCAGACCTGCAAACTGTGATATCATGCCCTGAGCTGAAGTCGGACACTTAACCGACTGGGCCACCCAGGGGCCCCTATAATATTAAAAAATAAATAATTTAAGGCAAAACTCTTAATCTCATTGAGTTAAATTTATTTTTTTTATCTTGACTCCTCTTCTTCCTTTAGCTTCCATCCATTTCTTTAGGAAAGTGATGCACTGTCTTTCCTTTCTTACCTTCATTGTGCTCCTCTACCCACTTCAAACCAACTTCTATCCCCGGAATCTGAAAATGCCCCTTATTAAAGTCACTAATGACCTGCATTTTGTCAAGTTCAAGGCACACTTTCCTGACGGCGTCTCTTGCTCCTGCTCAGCGGCAGTGTTGTCCTGGAGCCCAGTAGTAACGGTACCTGACAGCTAATTGTGTGTGGCTTTTTCCAGTTCCAAGCTCAGCGGAAGACACATTGGTAGTATGAAATTCGCCAAGATGAGTGTGTTCACATCACAGAAATCAGCAAATGTCACAAATCAGAGCCTTTCCTCCATTTGTTTAACATTCACCCTCATGCTGCTGCATATACGTGACCATTTTCCCTTTCATGGGACTCCCTTTTTTCTTGTCTACTCAGTACCACGTCTTCCTGGTTTCCTCCCATTTTAGCTTTTCTATCTTCTCCTTTGCTGCCTCTTCCTCTATCTCATGGCTACATGTCAGCATTCCTGGCGAGTCAGTCCTGGACCCTCTCTTCTTCCTTTCATACACTAGCCTCAAAAAATAATCTCTCTAATTTCCATGTATTTCAATGCTACCATTACGCCGATCAGTTTCAGATTTGTATCTGCAGCCCAGACCTCCCGTCTAAGGTTCGAATGCAAATGTCATGCTACTTATTTAAACTTGTGCCAGATGTCGCACAGACAAACTCATGACCAAAACGAAGTTCCAGATTGAATTCCACACACCTTTCCCTTTCTTCTCTTCTCCATCCCAACGTTCTCCATTTCAGTAAGTGGATCCACCATCTACTTGATTACTCCAACATCAACTATGGTTCTTCCGGATCCATTCTTGTATCTGCCAATTCTGTCAATTCTAATTCCAAAATATCTTCTGACTTTTTTTGTATTAAATATAATTTATTGTCAGATTGGTTTCCATACAACACCCAGTGCTCATCCCAATAGGTGCCCTCCTCAATGCCCATCGCCCACTTTCCCCTCTCCCCCACCCCCCATCACCACTCAGTTTGTTCTCAGTAATTAAGTCTCTTATAGTTTGCCTCCCTCCCTCTCTGTAACTTCCCCCCCTTCCCCTCCCCCATGGTTCTCTGTTAAGTTTCTCAGGATCCACATATGTGTGAAAACATATGGTAACTGTCTTTCTCTGCCTGACTTATTTCATTTAGCATAATACCCTCCAGTTCCACCCACGTTGCTACAAATGGCCAGATTTCATTCTTTCTCATTGCCAAGTAGTATTCCATTGTATGTATAAACCACATCTTCTTTATCCATTCATCAGTTGATGGACATTTAGGCTCTTTCCATAATTTGGCTATCGTTGAAAGTGCTGGTATAAACATTGGGGTACAAGTGCCCCATGTATCAGCACTCCTGTATCCCGTGGGTAAATTCCTAGCAGAGCTATTGCTGGGTCATAGGGTAGATCTATTTTTCATTTTTTGAGGAACCTCCACACTGTTTTCCAGAGCAGCTGCACCAGTTTGCATCCCCACCAACAGTGCAAGAGAGTTCCCATTTCTCCACATCCTCTCCAGCATCTGTAGTCTCCTGATCTGTTCATTTTAGCCACTCTGGCATGAGGTGATATCTGAGTGTGGTTTTGATTTGTATTTCCCTGATGCAGAGTGACGTTGAGCATCTTTTCATGTGTCTTTTGGCCATCTGGATGACTTCTTTAGAGAAGTGTCTATTCATGTCTCTGCCCATTTCTTCACTGGATTATTTGGTTTTTTGGGTGTGGAGTTTGGTGAGTTCTTTATTTTTGACTCTTGTTTTTATCCCTCATTTCTATTGCCATCACATTTTGGGCTGCCATTATCTCTCAACTCAATGCCTGTAATAGCCTCCAAACTGATCTCTGAACTTCAGTTCTCTCCCCTCCCCTCAGTTGATCTCCACATAGCAAAAAATGAGCATAAGAGGTAAATCAGATGACCATTTCCCTGCTTAAAATCTTTTAAGTGGTCTTCAATTACATTTAGTTTAAAAATCTGCCTTCAGAGCACTCTCAACAATAGCCAAATTATGGAAAGAGCCGAAATGTCCATCAACTGATGAATGGATAAAGAAATTGTGGTTTATATACACAATGGAGTACTACGTGGCAATGAGAAAGAATGAAATATGGCCCTTTGTAGCAACATGGGTGGAACTGGAGAGTGTTATGCTAAGTGAAATAAGCCATACAGAGAAAGACAGATACCATATGGTTTCACTCTTATGTGGATCCTGAGAAACCTAACAGAAACCCATGCGGGAGGGGAAGGAAAAAAAAAAAAAAAAAGAGGTTAGAGTAGGAGACAGCCAAAGCATAAGAGACTCTTAAAAACTGAGAACAAACTGAGGGTTGATGGGGGTGGGAGGGAGGGGAGGGTGGGTGATGGGTATTGAGGAGGGCACCTTTTGGGATGAGCACTGGGTGTTGTATGGAAACCAATTTGACAATAAACTTCATATATTGAAAAATAAATAAATAAATAAAATAAAAATCTGCTTTCAGGTTTTTGAACTGGTCCCTGCTTACCTGTCTGACTTGAAGTGTGAATGATCATTCAAGTTCATTATGTTCTGCTCAAGCTCACAGTGGTTACTTTTCTAGTCCTTGAATGGGCCAAGTACCCCTCCCACCCCCATACACCGCTTTTGTATATGCACCCCCTGTCTAAAATGATCTTTTCCTGGGCCTCCTGGGTGGCTCAGTCAATTAAGCATCTGACTCTCGGTTTTGGCTCAGGTCATGATCTCATGGTTCATGAGTTCGAGCCCCAAATCAGGCTCTGCACTGACAGATGGAACCTGCTTGAGAGTCTCTTTCTCCTTCTCTCTCTGTGCCTCCCCAGCTTGTGCCCCCATCCCCCACCTCAAAATAAATAAATAAGCTTTAAAAACCATAAAATGATCTTTTCCTTACTCTCTTTGTGGTTAACTCTGTTTCTTTAATTACAAATCAATTTAAATCTATCTTTTCATTGTTCCTTATCTTTATCTCAGCCCCTTATTTTTTCCATTTTTTTAAGTTTATTTATATTGAAGGAGAGAGAGTGCTCTCAAGCAAAAGTGGGGGAGGACATAGAGAAAGGAAGAGAGAGATTCCCGAGCATGTTCCGCAGTCTCAGTGCAGAGCTCAAGGTAGAATTCGAACTCGTGAACCAAGAGATCATGACCTGAGCCAAAACCAAGAGTCAGATGTTTAATTGACTGAAACACCCAGGTGCCGCCCTATTTCTTTCTTGGTTGAATGAATGAAGGAATCTACTTATATAAATAAGGATTTCTCTTACAGATATAAATAGTGAAAGAAATATTAAAAAGTTCTTAGCATAAGGCCTGGTACAGAGGATGGGTTAAATAAATGGCAACTTTTTTTTTTTTTTTTTTTTTTTAGAGGGGGACAACTGTTTTAAAATTTAATTTAATTTAATTTTCAGCATTTCAGAGTTCTGAATAAAGATTCATGTCCTGAAGGTGGCAGTATTAAGACTCAGGATGTTCTTGCTTCCCAGTTGCACGGATGGGTAACCTTACTTAAACACAACATCCCTAGCATTTCTGCTTTGAATTACTAATGTGTACTTATGAAACAGAGAGCTAGAATTGCTGATAGGAATTGAAATATTTATGGTAACCCAAATAGGATAAGAGGGGGGAAAAAAAAACACCAATTAAAGAATCAGGCCATAAATACCTTTCGTTTTTCCCTGATCAAACACATATGGAAAGCGTACATTTGGATTTTGGCAATGTGATAGGTTAGACAGTGATGATGATATGCTTTAGTTATATGATTACTAAATTAGTCATTTAGTTGCTGTCAGAGAGTTCTGCGACTTTAGTCTTATATTTAAAATGCAGCATGTTTGGGGCACCTGGGTGGTGCAGTCAGTTAAGTGTCCAACTTCAGCTCAGGTCACGATCTCACGGTCCGTGAGTTCGAGCCCCGCGTCGGGCTCTGGGCTGATGGCTCAGAGCCTGGAGCCTGTTTCCAATTCTGTGTCTCCCTCTCTCTCTGCCCCTCCCCCGTTCATGCTCTGTCTCTCTCTGTCTCAAAAATAAATAAACGTTAAAAAAATTTAAAAAAAAATAAAATGCAGCATGTTTAACCTTAAAGCATGCAGCAAACTCTTGCTGTATTTATAATTTTTTTTAAAAAAGGGCCTCAGAGAGTAATATCAACTCACTATACTCAGAGTAAACTCAAGTAAGATAAAATTAAAAATAGCATTGCAAATACTGTTTAAAATAACATAAATGACATCTAAAATAATACCAATACTTGCATCACGTTTTTAAGCCATTTAAGGAAAGATGTTTATTTACGTATTTGTTGGTTGTGTCTCATGAGAGGTGGTTCTGATGCCACCAAGAATCACTAGCCACTACTTCTGTGACTTTCCTAGAGTGGTGGACCCTCCAGGCAATTGCACACTATTTCTAGCCAAGTCCTCAGTCCTCTTCGTCTCTTGTCTCTTGCCATCATCTTCCTTAGGGGATTGGAGTAGAATTTTCCTGAACTGCTCACCCTGTGCTCTCTTCACCCTGCACCTTGCACCATCCAGTGTGACCTTTCAAGGGTAAAGGGACACGCTTTTAGCTTGGTCTCACCACACAGGTCACAAAATATAGAAAAGAGAGACTCAAGAGGAAAAAGAAAGCTTTGACCTACTTCATTTTTTTCCCCACAGAAAATTCACTTCCTTCTGGCCTGCCGCCTCCTTTTTTTGGGAATCCCATTGTGTGGTCTCAAGGACCCCGTTTGTTCTACAACCTAGATCAAAACCCTTCCTGAAGATGAAGTTGTTAAGAGAGAAGACCTGGGCTTTCTTTCATGTATTAGAGACTGACAATGTTTATATACAGAATTGATTTCCTGGAAACACAGCAGCCTCAACACTTTTTATCTGTGAATGACAAAGAGTAACAGTTACATTCTCACTGGAGGGCTGCTTGTGAGTGGCCATTAAAAAAAATGTTGACATTGGGGCGCCTGGGTGGCGCAGTCGGTTAAGCGTCCGACTTCAGCCAGGTCACGATCTCGCGCTCCGTGAGTTCGAGCCCCGCGTCAGGCTCTGGGCTGATGGCTCGGAGCCTGGAGCCTGTTTCTGATTCTGTGTCTCCCTCTCTCTCTGCCCCTCCCCGTTCATGCTCTGTCTCTCTCTGTCCCAAAAATAATAAACGTTTAAAAAAAAAAAAATTAAAAAAAAAATGTTGACACAACCTTCCTCCCTAGCAATTTTATTTTTTAAGCGTTTTTTTCTAGACATACACTTGCAAACAATTGTCAAGAAACGTGTTCAAGGGTATTCAGCTGCAGCACAGTTTGTAGCAGTGAAATTAGAAACAAAGGAGAAATGGTTGGGGTGCCTGGATGGCTCAGTTGGTTAAGCGTCTGACTTCGGCTCAGCTCATGATCTCCCAGTTCGTGATTTCGAGCCCCACGTCCAGCTCTGTGCTGACAGCTCAGAACCTGGAGCCTGCTTCAGATTCTATGACTCCCTCTCTCTCTCTGCCCCTCTCTGGCTTGTGCTCTGTCTCTCTCTCTCAAAAATAAATAAACATTAAAAAATTTAAAAAAAGAAACAAGAGAAAAATGGTTAATTGTACTATAATACATCCATACTAAAGAAGATGTCCACACTATGCAGCATTCAAAGAATGAGATAGAGCTACAGATACTGACAAGGAAAGATCCTGAAGACAAATTGTAGCAATCTGTAGAGAAATATTTCTCTGTGTTTATGTAACACATATACACGATGTATATTTGTATGTAAACAAAGAAAAATGGCTCTAGAAGGACACCCATCAAACAAACAGCAGTGAGTACCTCTGCAGAAGAAATCTGGACTTCAGTAGAAGCTAGATAAAAGGGGGCTTTGTTTTTGAATTTTTCACACAGTGAATGTACTAATGTACTATTTATATAATTTTTAAAAAATTTTTTAGTGTTTATTTATTTTTGAGAGAGAGCATGAGCAGGGGAGGGGCAGAGAGAGAGGGAGACACAGAATCCGAAGCAGGCTCCAGGCTCTGAGCTGTCAGCACAGAGCCCGACGCGGGGCTCGAACCCATGACACATGAGATCATGACCTGAGCGGAAGTCGGAGGCTCAACCGGCTGAGCCGCCCAGGCGCCCCCATACTATTTATATAATTAACATTTAAAAGAAAGAGACAAGAGGGAAAGGAAGACAACAAACGTGCAGTGCCGGGTAGTGGTTAATTTTATGGTCCCTGGAACCAGATAACCTACGTCCGGGTAGTAGCCTGCCACTTATTTAACCTCTCTGTGCTTCAGATTTTTCCTTTGAAAAATGGCAGTAACAAGAGTGCCAACCTCAGAAAGTGGCTGTAAAGAATGAAATAAGATGCTATATGTAAAATGCTTGGCACCTTGTATGAGTGATGTAAGTGTTAGCTAGCGTTATTGATTAGGTAAAGAATAAGTCATTAGTTATCCCACTTTAGTCAGAGAGAAATTATTCCTTTCTTCATCTTTTGGCACTACTGAGACCTCAGGAAATGTGCCTTTAAAAAATCAATGTCAAACGGCCTTGGAGATCAGGCTCCTAATGGCTTTGCTTTTGTCTAGTCATCCTGGAACAAAATGCATTATAGCCCAATCGACATTCACACCAACCTGTTCCACTGGGCGTTGGAGACAAAAAGACCAATGAGACAAATTTCCTCCTCTTAAGGATCCCACTTTCTGTGATGGGGGGTGTGGTGGAGGGAAGAATCAATCAGTAAACAGATCATTTCAACACAGTGTAGTGCTGTGATAGGAATACAGAACAATGAATGGAGTTACAGAAGGAAGGAATGGCTGGAAACAAGGAAAGCTTCCAGTCAGAGGCGAAGATTCTAGAAGGATGAAGAAGAGTTACCTTTGAAAATAAGGAAGAAATGGGCATTCTAGGCAGAGGAAACGCCATGATTTATCTGAGAGAACTACAGTGGTTTGGTTTTGCTAAAATGTAGTATGTGTATGTTTTTATGTACGTGTATGTGTGTTTGAGTAGCAAATGGATTGGGGTGGGAACGAATGGTTGGAAGAAGTGAAGAGTAACATATTTAGAAAGATGGTGACGACGAAAGGTGATCTTAATTATGTAATACCAGTGTGAAACAAGAGCAGAAAGATTGCAGTGGAAGGATTGTTGAAAACAACCTGCCTGTTCAGACAGATCAAGGGATTCTACGTAAGAGGTCTCAATTTTGACAAACTTTCGAAGAAGCATTATAGGCCGATTTCTGACTCTTGCGTCTAGATAGAATAAAATATGGCATTACAGGTCAGGGCCCTTGCTGCAATAGTTGGGGAGGGGGAAAGGACGTTACAAAATTCATGGTTTAAAAGACATCAGAGAGCTATGGATACAATAAGACTATGTGAACTAAAATTCCAGAGAGGGAAGAGCCCTTCTTAGGTGAGCTGACAATCTCTGGCCATTTTATTCCTCGGGGATATTGGCCAGTTCTAGGTGAGGAGTAAGAATCAGGCATGACCCCTCCAGAGAAAAGAGAAGGCAGTGGAGCTTTTGGTGGTTGCGTGGGGCTGGCTTGACAGACAGTAAGCTAATGGAGTATTTGCTTATTCCTCGATAAGGAATGGGAGCTTCTAAAAGGCAGACTGAGGGGCGCCTGGGTGGCTCAGTCGGTTAAGCATCGACTTCGGCTCAGGTCATGATTCATGGTTCATGAGTTCGAGCCCCGCATCGGGCTCTGTGCTGTCAGCTCAGAGCCTGGAGCCTGCTTCGGATTCTGTGTCTCCCTCTCTCTCTGCCCTTCCCCCACTCGCACTCTGTCTCTCTCTCTCTCAAAAATAAATAAAACATTAAACAAAATTAAAAAATAAATAAATAAAAAGGGGAATGAAATATCCTGGTTTCATAGAACTTGGGAGACAAAGTCCCACCAGTAGGAGACATCCTCCTATAAATATACAGTCAAGTTACCCCCTTAAAACATTTGCTAAATATTGAAGGTGCAAGGGGTCAGGAGGCAAAAAGCTAAACTCCAAACCTCTAAATGGCAGAACTGATTCTGAAGATCTGAAGAGACAGAGACCCAGTAAGTAGGCTCTCAATCAAAATCCAGGAGAGCCACACCTGAGGAATAAGGACAAAGATATCCCTATTTTGGTTGAGGTGATCTACCTGCTTAATCAAGGAGGACAATCTGAAGCCTCTGGATTCCTGTATACAGAGTCTGGCATACAATAAAAATTAGCAAACGTATGGAAAGACAGGAAAATATGGCCAATAACCGAGAGAAAAAATACAAGCAAAGCCACAGATGTTTATGTGTTATGGTTAACCGACAAGGACATGAAATAGAATAATGATTAACAAGTTAACAAAAATATGGAAAAATGAATAAAAAGATGGAGAAGTCCAACAGAAAATTGGACTCTGTAAGAAAGAATCAAGGGCACCTTCTAGAAATGAAAAATACACTACACGAAGTTCAAAACACTTTGGATGAGTTTGATAGGACAGAAGAAAGCAGAGTTTGTGAATTTGAAGACAGGTTGACAGAAATCATCTGAAATATATAAAGGAAAAGTTATAAAAGAAAAAGAGCAGGGCATATGAGACATGTGGAACACAAATGGTCTAAAAACAGTCTAGCTTATTTATTACTTGAGAGAGAGAGAATAGAGAATGGGGCAGAAGAAATTTGTAAAAACATTAACCCAAAGATTAAAAAGAAAGGTTACTGAACCCCAATAGGGTAAAAGAAAAGAAAATCACACAGAGACATGTCATAGCCAACCTGATGCTAACCAAGAAAGATAAAGACAAATCTTAAAAATAGACAGGAAAAAAAAATATATTCCCCTTCAAAGAAAACAACAGGAAGACTAATTGAAATCTTCTCAACAGAAACTATGGGGAAAGATAGTGGAATGGCATCTCTTTTTTTTTTTTTTAATTTTTTTTAATGTTTATTCATTTTTTGAGAGACAGAGAGAGACAGAGCATGAGTGAGTGGGGGAGGGGCAGAGAGCGAGAGAGGGAGACACAGAATCCAAAGCAGGTTCCAGGCTCTGAACTGACAGCACTGAGCCCGACGTGGGGCTCAAACCCACAGACCACGAGATCATGACCTGAGCCAAAGTCAGACTCTTACCTGACTGAGCCACCAAGGCGCCCCTGGAATGGCATCCTTAAACTGGTGGAAGGATGTTTTATAGGGTGTCTCGAATGATCTTACCTGCACTAACTATGGATTTGTTTCTTGTCCACCATCTCATACGTAGGACCGGTTATAGGTCCCCTGAAACTGAGTTACTTGGGGTCCCACCCTCTGAATATTACGTAACTTGGCCTTTTGCAAATGCGTGGCGCAAAGATCACCTACAGTAGGTTATGCAGACTGGAGCTCTATGCTCCTTTACTCTTGAAGTTCACAGGCTTGACTCCACAATCTCATCATAGCATCAGTGTGCTCTCAGCAGGGGTGACATTGCTTCGACCCAACTAGCCAGACCTTTCTGCCTAGATATCAGGAATATTACTTGGAAGCGTTTATTCTGATTTTTGTAACATAGAACGTTGATTTTTAGTGATTAGGAACATTTCTTTAGGCCATTAAAACCAAAAAAAAAAATCATTTCTTTTTCATGTTACTTAAGAATTTCCTACACTTGCAGTGTTATGAGCAGCAATGCCATCGTTGGGCTGTAGGCTTTAGGCAAAGATTTAATGAGTCTAAACACTGACTGAGAGGGTGTGTAAAATGCGTGTCTTTAAAACTCCTATAGATGTGTTGTAAGTGAAGCAGAACAGTGAGAGCTTCCTGTGGCAAATGTACCCTTTCTGGCCTATCTATGGTGTTAGGAATGAGCCTCCAGTTACAGACTGTTTGGGTGCCTCCTCTCTTTTCTGGAACTAGCTAGGAGATACTAGTCCGCAGATGTGTAGCCCCTGATGGTTTGAATTAGCCAGTCACCACTCCCCACCCCTCAAATGTC